AGAATAAATGCGAACATGAAAGAATAAGCTTTCGAGATGATTATTTCTATTTCTCAAAGTACATCAATCATAGTTGTAGTGTTTGGTAAAAAAGATCAGGACATTCGATTTTAAAATTTCGTTCATTCAATTTCCGAGAGATTCCCACGAAATGTATAAACATCATATCAACACCACACACAACCACAATCGTGTATCCCATTTAGATTGAAGATTTTGATAAATACTTTTCTTTTCTTCAACTTACATATAAGCTATCATAAGGGGAAAAGGGCGTCTGAAATAAGGAAAGGTTAAAAAACTTTTTTTATAAAGGTATTTTTTTTTTTTTTGACTTGGTTGATCTGCTGTGGCTTGTATCATGTGATCAGAAGCCACAACATCAATTGAGTTTCGCGGTTGACGCGACAATGACATAAAAGAGATGTCGCATAGAAAATGCGAGCACAGACAAAGCTGTGGACTCTTTACCGTCTTGGCTCTTTAATTATAGTGATATGATAATAACATGAGGCAAAGATGATGGATTCAAATACGCCTTCATATTGAACTGACAGCGAGTGAAGACGATTATGGAACGTGATGCCCCCTGTCATCAATTGCATAATAGTTTCCATACCAAAAATAAAAAAGAAATTCCCCATGGTATAAAGACCTCCTCCTTTTCTTCTCCCTTTTTTTTTTTCTACTTTTCTCTTTCATTTCCTCCTCATTTCTTTCATCCTCACCTAAATACCTAAGCACCTTATCTATTTCATCAACCATGGATTACCTTCAAACAACCCAAAGCATTATGAACACAAACCTGGCACGCTACCCAGTTTTGGCTGTCGGTCTTCCACTCGTTGGAGGATTCCTCTCTGCTATTCCTTCTCACCAGCATGTGCAGGGCTACTATGAATCTCTCCGTAAGCCTGATTGGGCGCCTCCTTCTTCCATGTTTGCGCCTGCCTGGACTGCCCTCTACATTTCCCTCGGATATGCCTCCCATTTGGTTGCTCTCCGAACTGGACCCAACACTTTACCTTCAATGCGCTCAGTGGCTCAGACTGGATTGGGGATCTATGGCATTAACTTGGCCTTCAACTTTGCTTGGTCACCTCTGATGTTCTGGAAAAAGAAGATTGGTGCCGCTCTCGTCACTGCTGGTGGTTTGACTGTAAGTTTTATTTTTATATCGTATTGACGTCCATGTTGAATGTATGAAAGCTACAATTCTTTGGAAGAAAAAAAAAATCAATTGATGCTGGAGCGACATCCAACAAAGAATCGAGGATATTTGGACACTTCAATGGCGCTATGATCTCCTTTGTTGAAATATTTGGAGGGGGGGGATCATATTTTATTTTTATATTTTGTGACATCAGAAATTTTTTTTTTTTGGAAACCGCGACGAAAAAAAAAAAAAAAAAAAAAAAAAAAAAGTTTTATTACATGAAATTATGCATCATAAACTTACTTTTTTTTTTATTTTACTGTATTTTGCATTCATATTTCATTTAGGCTTCAGCTGTTGCTGTTTCCTACTACTTCTTCAAGGTGGACAAGATGGCCGGTTACTTGACTCTTCCCTATGTTGCCTGGTTAGGATATGCCACTGCTCTTAACTACGATATCTGGATCAAGAATGCTCAAGGTCCCGCTGCTGATCATGCTCGCAGAATCGGCAAGGACGTCAACGATGCTGCTAGACACGCCAAGAACGAGTTCAAGGACGCTGCCAAACATGCCAAGGAAGATGCCAGGGATGCTGCACGTAACGCTAACAAGAACGCTCGCAATGCCGCTAACGAGACTGCTGACAAGATCGACCGTGAGCTCCGTTAAAAAAAAAAAAAAAAAAAAAAAAAAAGCTTTTTTAATACAACCTACACCCATATTTTCCTTTTCCTTTCTTCCTTATCATTGTAGTGTTCCCTTTCTGTATTTTTCTCTTTTTTCATTGATGTACATACTTGCACTGTTATGATAATAAAAAAAAAATCTTATGAAAAATAACTTAGGGTATGTATGTTATATATGGTATGACTATAACAATTGCATGTATACTCTAATTATTCGATTTTGCGTAGCGCTGCCTCAAGGTCGCCAGAGCTCAGCATCTGGTAAACGTAATCAAAGACCTTCCATACTCGGCCAAGGGAATCACCACGGCATGGGCCTGTGATATTTCTATGATGAAGGAATGGATCTATGACTCTGAAAGTCCCATCGTTCATATCCTTTAGCTTCCTTCCGAAATCACCTCCTCCAACATTGATGGCCATGGATGTATAGTTAAATCGTCGTGAGAAAAATTCGAAAAATTCTATTAATAATCGGGCCAAAGATTTGGGATTGGTCCGCCCTTGATTCGTGTGTTTGCCGTCTTTGTTTTCATCATAAAAGACGGCAACAATCCTGGCCGAGTTGAAGTTTACAAGACCATTGCCTTTTGTATTATGTTTAATACGCAAGCTTAACGATTTCATTCGCTCAAACGGTTGCTGTTGTAGTTTTGGAAGGATGGAGACTGGACCCCATCCCCATTCTCTTGATGTGCTTGGCGAAATAACATCACTGGGTTGCTGAAGAAACACGATCCCCATCCATGTAATGGCATAGCTACTGAGGTATCCACTTCTTGAGTCATTGATCCCCTGTGCCCGGCAGATGGCTTTTATCACATACAAGAATGGCTTCACACGTTCATCCAATGTAGTGTAAATCCGGATCAGATCGGAATTATAAACACCTAGATTGTTGCCTGTGTTAATGTCGCACTCAATGTTCGTTTCGGGATCCGTAAATTTTACAATAGGCACCATTGCGTGGGGGACTGGGGAGACGTACTTCATTCCTCCGCGATGCTCCAACACCTCTGCAAGGAAATGCATATCATTTAAACTCGTGTGATTATTCACATTAGGGCCTGTGATAACAAAGTCGGCATCGCTGTTGGCCATGAGGAGTCCGCTCACGAATGAACTGGTAGTAATCATGACAATACAATTAAAAGAGTTCTTAGGATACTCAAGAGAATTAAACATGTATAAAAAAAATAAAAAAAAAAAAAAAAAAAAAAAAAAACTTACCCATAGGGCTCAACTTTGAGCGTTTCAGTTGGGAAAGCTTCGGAAATGGTTTTTTCTACGCGCTCTTGAAGCCGCCTATGCTTCTCCGTAAGTTCTGGTGGTGGAAGCAGCGTCTGAACATTAACAGAGCAACGTTTGAAAAAAGATCCGTTAGAAGGTGGAGGCTTCATATCCAGAAGCCCTTCATGGCTGATAAGGAGGTATGAACTCTCTGCACATATACCTGATAATACTTCATGATGTCTCGAGTCAGGCATCCATAAAATGCTGCATCGTCTTGCTCCGTTGGCAAATCAATCAGTCGAAGATCTTGGTTCACGCCATTCCAGTCATAAAGAGCACGAGATCTGATTGCTGGTAACCATCGAATGTTTCTCAACGCGCTTCCAGTGAATCCATCCAAGTGAACCCTATCAAGTGCTTTCACAAGTCCATCCTCACCATCCTCGTCCGAATCAGAGTATTCTGTAGGAGGGTCACGGTTCAGGTCCTCGAAGCTATAAGAAGATCGATTGATCATCTCCCGAACATAATCGGCTCGCTTTCGCTTGCCATTAAAACGTCGCGTGTATTTATCCACACCTTTGACATTTTTGATTGGATGATCGCGCGTTCCATCATGAATGGTGCTATCGTCGTCATCATCATTGTCATCATCCTTTTCCTTGGATCGTCCATCAACACCCATATTCTTGATCTCTACAATCTTGCCTCCAGATCCATTATTATACCAAACGCGTTTCCGTAAATGAGCAATTATCACCGCAATCATATCCTGCGAATGTTTGTCGAGTTTGTAATAGCCATCAGCCATCTTTTTACCATGAATATCTTCCAGGATAGTAAGCAAATTCGATCGGATAGTGATCAGAGGTGGGCCTTGATATCCAACTTGTTTGCGAATTGACCCAAATCCATGATTCACTTCATCAAAATCACTGAACTCATCCTCATTAAGTTCATCGACATCCTTTTCATCCAGATAGCCGGTGTCATCAGATGGATAGATGTCATACTTGCCATTGTGTCTTAGGACAAAGGCGCGGACGCCTTTCGGAGTCAGCATTTTTGAATTAACTAACAATGTTGCAAAGGTGGCTGTATGGCGGTTGTGCAGGAATTTAGGCTCAAGACAGAGTCGATAAGCTGACAGGAAATCATACGCTAGCTCGTCGTACTTGAGTGGAAAATCATATTTCTTCAGCTGGTTTAGGCGGTAGCAAGCTCGCTCATAGAGAATCGTGTCAAATAGGGTACCGACAAAAACTTCATCGTCCGAGGCGACGGCCTTAAAGGGTCCAGTATCAGAGGACTGATCTATTAGAACGCTTGAAGCGTAAACTGAATTGAAGGCCATGATGATGGTTTCAGTCAATGTGAATTTCAAACTATTGCATGAGTAAAATAAAAAGTGAAGGCATTTTTTTTTTCTTGTCTGTGTCAGTTCCCACAGCAGCACTGCCTACGCCCCTGACGGTCACAATATCGAAGCATTGATCCCTTGTGTGCTGTGGAACCCAATGGACCAACTTTTTTTTTTTTTTTTTTTTTTGTACAAAAACAATTAAGCTAGCGACAACCATGTCATCTTAGTGCTAGCTCACGCATCCAGAGTTACAGTTTGTACAGGAAGCATAGGACAAACGAGCCTCACTGCTTTTTTTTTCTCTTTTTTACATTGTTATTAACATCATTATCATTATTAATCTACAAAACATAAGTTTGATAACAGTGGTGCATACAGCTAAAGATGTTGTTCGTACATGTTTCGAAGCAAGGGTTATTGTCCCTACATGTTGACTCGCAAAAAAACGAGCCATCGCAATCGTCAAAACATTCCTAATATTTTTCATCTGGCTCACACGTCCTCCTACATTTTTGATCATAACCTGAGCAGTAATTGTTAGGACACTTGCCTGCTGTAGGCAAGGGCAATAGTAATGGCAGAGTTGCAAATATGTGAAGCAATAACAATAAAGAAAACTACCACTCGTAGTTAAAGGAAGAAAACAACGATGTTGTTTGGATCTCTGTACCAGAAAATAAAATAACATGGCGTTGATTTAGATTGAAAGTGGTGAGGAATAGCAATAAATACCATCTCACAATGGTAAGTAGCCCGCTCAAGATCTCGGAATGGTGAGCATTAAGGGCAACAATATATAAACATTCGAGGAACAGCTGGTCAACAAGGGAGAAATTGAAGTCAATAAACGTATTTGGCTGCAAATGAAGGAATAGAATAGGATAAAGAAGACAATCGGACTAGCAATATCACACGTGCGTGCCAGTATCGCTGCAAGTGGAAATGCAATTGATTAAGAGGAAAAAACTTGTTGGCACTGATTGTGAGGCTGAGCTCTCGAAACCGTTAAGATCGAAGGGCAATTCTTAAACAGGAGGGCTTCCTAGAAAACATTATGCTAAGCCAAAAAAGCCAACAATGGGAATGAATCGAATATCCATAAAAAACATCAAGATAGCCGCCCTTTCCATTTATGAGAAAACTCACAATTAAAAAAAAGGTGCGCAATGGCGGCTGTGCCTGTATTAATTCTCAACCTAACGCCATCCATCACAAATACCACAGACACATACTTTATAAACTCTTCATTTCCACTAGTTAGCACATTACCTGTATTAATCTCCTTTTTTTTTTTTTTTTTTTTTTTCCTTTCTCGAATGAGTTCAAGTATGAAAAGGCGGAACGTTTTGCTAATTGCTCGATACTCCTGCATCTGATAGTCCGACTAATCATTACTATCAACTTAATACAGGTATATCCTTCGGTAATGATCGCGCACGACAAAAAAAAAATAATAGGTAACATAGTCTTGATATCCTATTGCAATAGCCCTGATTTGTAACTATAAGCCTTTTACCCACACGCGACGCGTAGGATAGCGTGTGACCCCCAGCCTCAATCTTTTTTTCCTTCACCAATCGTTACACAGCACAGATGCGTAAATGTGCTCCCTTATGAGGATCACAGAGCACGGGTACAGGGAAAGGAAAGAAGCTGGACCTTAAGCTAGCCATCCTAGAATAAAAGGGAGTAGAGCGATTTTTCTCGCAAGAATATAACACGCTCGAGCCATCTGAGGGCCATGGCTCTCATGGTACCCATTTCTATAATTTGACAAGAGCAAAGTAGTGGTAGGAGTCCTCTGTTGCTTTTTTATTCCACACATGCGCAAATGCACAAACAGACCCAATTGCTTACACGTTCACTATACTTCTTTCTGCAGGATTGAAATGATATCGCGGGACCTCAGATGGTGAGAGAAGGATGGAAGATGGAAGCGGCAGGAGGAAGGAGGATGAAGTGAGAGGAATAGTAGATCTAGAGCAGGCAATCAGTTTTTATACGACATTCTGTTCCTTGACAATGCAATTTTAATTACACACAAGAGCAACAACCATATCCTTACAAGTGCTGTTTATTAAATAAGAGATGCTGCTATGCTATTATATATTTTAATCTACAAAAGCAAAATCTAATGACAATGGCGCATACAGGTGAACATATTATCTTGACACGTTTTGAAGCAAGGGGTCGTGTTTCTACATCCCGCCTCGCAAGAAAACGAACCGAGACAACCGTCAAAACATTTCCTGTATTCTCCATCTGGCTCACACTTATCCCGGCACTTTGTGTCATAATCCGTGCAATAAAAATTAGGACACTTGCCAGCAGGAGGCAAGGTTGATGGCAACGGTGTAGCGTCAATCACAGGTTCTGCACGTTGTGTTCCAGTAGGTTCAGAAGGCGTTGTTGTTGAGGGGATTGGTCCAACAGATGAAGAAGGACTTGTGGTTCCAGATGAAGGTACATTAGTGGGGTTTGATCCCGGTGGATTTCCGTTATTAGTAGTGCCACTGATGTTTTTATCATGGCTCTTTTTGTTCGAAAGATGGTAACCGACACCAGCACCTACACCAATAACCACGCAAGCAAACAAAAACATCCACATGAATTTGCGACACCGTCTCTTCGATTTGACAGGAACATGGGTTACATATTCTGGAGTCATGCCATGAGTTTTGACATCATAATGTTGATAAGCTGGGTTTGGTTGTTTAGGCACAGTATTACTCGTTAGTGGCTGAGGTTGTGCTGAGCTGTTGCTACAGTTCATAGCTGCAGATGCAAGGTTGAAGATCGGTGCATCTACGGGGATCGGGTATGGATTATGGCCGTGATCCATATTTGATGAGTACCCTGGAGGAGGAGGAGCAGGAAGAGGCACACCATGTGATTGCAGTGAACTTGGATCGTATTGGTAAGGTGCATATTGTTGAGGATATGATGAAAGTTGTTGTCCATGGGGGCTACGGTGATCTGGAGCCGGCGCAGAGAAGTTTGGAGGAGGAGTGTAACCCGTGGTCAGTTGAGGCGCTCGTGGTGAGTCAGATAATGGAGGCGTATTCTCTTCTACAGCATCAGTGATGGTTTGTGGTGATCTTGATGATGATGTAGGAGGTGCTGATATATGGCTGTCTCCATGTGATTTCGAGTCGTTTGGGCTCAACATGTGATGTTCTAGGACTAAGGTGCTGGAATGGAAGTGGAGGAAAGAAGGAAGGGGTAGGAGAATGAAGAGAGAGAGATAATAAGTCTGGAGCAGGCGAGCAGTTTTTATATGATTTTCTGTTTTTGGCAGCACATATTCAATAATACAAGAGCCTGAACTCTATCATTATTTGCCCTCGGTATCATCCAACCTGAGTTGAAATAGATATAATCTGGCACCTGAAGATGCACTGTATATATTTCTCTGAATATTTATGAGCCATCCTCCGACTGCGGCCTTATTTTTGATTTTTTCCCACCAACTTAAAGTAAAGACAAAGTCTTAAAGTGCATCCTTCTTGAATAGACATGTAGATTTAGATGTTTTGGGAAATCTTGATGAAATTGATATAATGTCTTTAATAAGAGGCTGTTTTGAGCATGAGGACATCTCAACTGGAGTAGGCTGAGTCTGTTGATGAGATTGGGACATGGATCGAATAACTGTAGTAGCATCAGTGTCATCAAGGTATTATTGCACACGCACACCCTGAAGATAGATTCGTAAATGCATGGTAACATGCACATAGTTTAACCTTGTCTCCTCAAAGTCGAGCTCAATCGAGCAAAAAAGTAAAAAAGTGAGCTCGAGCAATAAGGCTCTGTCTAAAGACGCTTTTATTCAATTCTTTGTACTGACTCCAAATACCTCCTAACAAGCTTCGTCGTGTCCTCGAATCGTTGTCGTGCTGAAAGATGAAATCATCTTTAGTTAGGTTCCAGTCATCAAGGGATATCTATAGATCTTCCTGAAGTTTAGTCCAGAGTGTCGTCCATCATCGCAATTTATCCAGATCCGTATCATGAGAAGCATGATCGCACTCTAACGTTACCGCCCCTAAATTTGACAGTGGTAGGCAATATCTCCTCACCACGAAGTGCCGGGTTGCGTGCCGCCCGGCCAAGACGCGGGAAGGGTGATGATAAGTTATCAGGTTAACCATACTGTACTGCCCGCAGAACATCACTGCTGTCACACCCCATGCTTGCCGCCTCGTTCGACATCAAAACATTAATGGTACCGCCCTTGAATTGCTCCAATAGCTCCTTTTTTTAAGATCAGACTTTCCAGAATGATAGTCAGCGACATTAACGTCCTTTATTGTATGTCTAAAAGAAAGAACAGTAAAGTCCACCCATTCCTCGTTTAAAAGTACACAATGGTTTTCTTTCCATCTTTCAAAAAGTTGAGATCCTTAAATGAATCTAGTGGATGTTGAAACCGATTCACGACGTATTTGATGTTCCTTCTGTCGTTACCAACTGTGGCCACGTAGGGATCTTTGAAACGCATCACCATTTTGACATTCAATAAAAGCGGAGGCGGCAGTGTAGCAGGAACAGCGACAAAGCAAGTGCCTCGATCTACAAAAGTGTGCAGAAATCTAAGTTTCCCGTAATCCGTTCTGAATTTTCCAAGCGCATTGCTCGCAAAGAGGATCTCGAAACGAATATGGCTCAATAGTCCTCCGCTTGTAATCTTTCGATCGGAATGAACGTCTTACTCTTAAGATGAATGCTACTAATGCCTACCGATGCCAGCATTTCCGCCTGCTCGTCACCCAATACCTTCAATGGCGTAAGAACGAGTATGGTGATTTCTGGCCAAAGTATTAGAGGGAGGAAGTAGATCACCGTCTTCCTCCATCCAGTACCAACAGTTAGAATGAATGCAATCTTGATGCTCTCCTATCTTAGTCACGATATCCAGCTGTTCATCTTTCAGGCCAAGCCCAAAAGCTTTCCTGATCTTTTGGCGAATATCCTCGGAGGAATGGAGGGAATTAGTTTTGTGTTAACATTTTTGTTTGTTTTTATTGTGGAGGAACAAAAATTTATTTAATGTTTTTGTGCGCAAGGTACTTGCAATCAGTACATACTCCATGAAGCTAGTGCGATTGATATGGTGGCAACATGCGCTGGTAAAATATCTATGAATGCCAACAGCACCATATCCTTGTAATGCGTGTCTGCAATCAATCTTTTTTTTTTTTTTTTTTTTTTTCCTTAACATAGGCCCAATCATTCTCGTTCTTCTTTCCACCTTTCTGTACATTCCTATTACTCTCTCTTTGATCCTTTCAAATTTGCCATTGTGATTAATATCTTTTCTTCAAAGGCAAATACCCTATTTATATATCAATGTCTGATGCATCACAAACTGATTCCTTCTTAGTGAGGTCCTGTTAATTCGCGCAGGAAGGCGGAAAGTGGAGCGTAGCGATATTATATTTATGAAAACAAGTCAATTGGTCGAAGTCTTGTTTTATGGAAATAGCATACTGTTTCCTAGCTTCCATTGCCTTGCGCGTATCTTTGGGTGCTCACTTTCCCTCTATTAGCTTTAAGCTGCCATGCTTTTAACAATGAGCCAGTATAAAAGTCATGTTCTTTGGACTGTAGAACGGGCAAATTTGCCCATTTAGCTTTCATCAACTCATGAGCAGGCCAGATCCAGTTCTCCATGCTTCCTGCGAGATGAAAACAGCCGGCTATTGGATTCTTGCCACCCATATGAGGTAGCAATTATGGTGCGTGAAAGCAATGCCAGTGTTCCGACCTGCTCGATTTGAATGCCAAGGATGCAAACAAAAAAGTCGGCAGCAAAAACCAACCAGCAAACAACCGTTTCAGTAAAAATCAATCAGTAAAATCCTGTATCAAGCTAATTATCACGATGCCATTACATTCATCTTTAAATAGCCTCTGCTCCTCTGCGCATTTCCCAACTTTCACCTTCTTCTATTCAGACTAAAGGTAAACAGGTGTCTATCTCTATTGTTTTCAACCTCATTCGTGATTTCTCTTTTGTTAGATATGTTGCTGAGTCAGTCTCCACGCTTGTCTAAAAAATGTTTTGAAAAAAAAAAAAAAAAAAAAAAAAAGAGAGAGAGAGAGAGAGAATGCGAATGGAGCTAACACGATCAACGACGAAGAGAGCAGAGAAAAAAATGACGAAGATACGGGAAGTTTTAACAAGATACTATTAATCAAAAAAAGACCAAATAGAAAGGGTAATCGTAATTACCAATTAATTAAAAATGACCACTATTGCTTTTAATTAAAACGCAGCCAATTTAGTGAAGGTGCTTTTATGATGAAGAAAGAGAAAAAGAAGCGCATATACAAGGAACGTTACATAAAATGGTATAATTGCTAAATAAATAGTGGAGATAAATAAGCACAGAAAAATATAACCGCTTCATTTGGAAGACAACTCATGGGTATGGTGTGCCTGATTAGTTTGCTCACCACGAAGCGGTGATGTAAAAACCAATCATCAGTTTGACTTTGACATGAATTACTGACCAAACAAGACGGACAAATTAATAAATACGATAATAGACAAGAGATGCGTTGGATGCGAAGCGCGATCAAGATCTCTAGATGACATATCGCGTCCCCAGAACGCTCAGTAACCGCAAATGACGGAGCTTGTGCATAGAGTTGAGGATATCTCTATCTATTTTTAATGGGAACGAGACAACCCTGAATGTGATTGCGCATGGATCCAGCACTAACTCTTCCAATGTCCAAAGTTGTGCCAAAATATTTATAATCTGATCCTGTTTGCGTCGATGCTCGCTTTCTGAAAAGGTTGCGTCGTCTGCACCACTCACACTTAAACCATTCTCCTCCTCCTTAAAATGATTCAGTTGAGCCTCACTGCAGCTGATGCTCATGCGAAGTCTTTTGAGTGAACTCCTACACCCCCAAGGCAACATTTGTAAAAATCGCTCGACATTGACAGAGGCACCCTCGATCTCAAACAGCTGTAATTTCGGACATATTTCTAATACAGTTACTACATCGTTCAGCTCCATGCCGATAAACGAAAAGTGAAAAGAAAATCTCTCTAATCGATGGCTCAGATCATAGTGTCTCAAATAAAATGCTGCATCTAAATCACCAAAAGCCCTAGAAAAAGATATAGATAACAAGCAACCACTAGCGGTTAAAAGTCGATCTAAAGACATATTCCCAGATTCCGACGATTGAAGGCAGTCAAAGTCAATGCGCTCGAGCGTTGCAAAACACCCTGAGAGCTGGATGGAATTTGCAACTGTAAAGAGAAGTTCATTGCTGGCCTTGAATGGAAGAGACAGGCGTTCCAAGCGAGGACATCTCCTAATTATGTAGTCTACCAGAAGAGGGTCAATTAAGGACCAGCCATCCAACTGAAGATGTCGGATCTGTGTTGGGAACTGAGGGCACAACGCAATCCTTTGAGTACCGTTACTTGAGTCCCAGACTAGTGTCTCAATGCTTGGACAATGGTCAAGGAATGCTTGACAAGCATCGGACTGCTCAGCTAAATGGACAGAAAGCACCTTTAGATGCTGTAGGGTTCCCAACGCCTCGGCGATCTTATCAACTCCTTTAACGCGCCAAAGTTCCATTCGTACAAAGCTTAACGACCTGTTTTTGTTGATCAAATTCACCCAAATATCAGCTGTTTGGGCCAGAGTGGTCATCTTAAAGAAATCTCGCCAAAACTGTTGTTCAGCGCAGAGGCTTGGTGAGGCCCGATGGCCGAGTGCATAGAGATCAGTCAAATTTGAATTGACGCTGGCATGTGTAAGGTTGGTACAATTACCAGCCAAAAAGAGGAAGGAGTGGACATTGGCGACCACAATGGTCTTGATTAGAGTAGAGTAAGCTAGGGCTCGAGGGAACACGATGTTGTCCGTGTTCTGTAGCATGGGTAATGTTTTCTGTTCCTGAGAATGATTGGGAGATGGGGTTTCATCTTGGATGTTGAAGAGATGCTGTCCAAAGTCAAAGGTGCAAATGTGTTTATAGAGCGCCTCAACGAAAGCCTGTAACCACGAGTGGTTAACACGAAGGCAGACGGTTAATTCATGAGGTGACAGATATTGAGCAATACGCGAGGCGAGTTCTGGAGTGTGGATTACATGAATATGCTTCATCAATGTCTCTTTTCTCTTTTTGATAGTTTATCTTGCAGGAAGGTAGTGAAGGTGTGTTCTTTGTTGGCTTGCATGGTCAACAGGATAGGGCACGAACCCTTTTCTCTTATTACTTCTCGGAGGAGGTTTTGAAGATGTTTTGCATAAAGTCATTTGAATATTCAAGTGTTTAAAGGTGAGCAAGGTTTTATGTTTCTATAGCCATGTGGATCTACACGTGACAAAGGAACAGGATGATGTTGCCTGGATCCCAGAGATGTTGTCAAAAAGATTGCTTTTTTTATTTGTGATATGGATATGATCGATCAGATTGTGTTTGACTGCGTGTAAATGGCAATGGATCAAGCATTCACTCCTTTTCTCTTTTTCATCCACATCCTTCTTCGGCCCGCTTTTTTTTTTTCCGTTGAAGTTTACATTACCAAATAAAACTTGTACCAGTGCAGAACTGCAGTTTCCGAATCAAAATATATTTCCCCGCTCTATTTCTTCTCTAATTGCTTTTCCCCTTATGTCTTCTCTTCGCGCCCTGGCTGCTGTCTCCAGACCCTTTCTTCTCAACTCGTTCAAGACTACACTAAAGTCTACCCAGCCAAAGGTGCCTTTCTATTTACCCCACTCCTAGCTCTTGATAATTGAAACAAGTTTAAAAAAATGATCTAAAAATCAATCCAATCATGAATCACTCATCTCTACATTTCATTCTCTATTCAGATTGTCTCAAACATGCTCTATAGGAATTACACTAGCAGTGCTCCAACCTACCCTGGCTTGGGTCAGCCCGATTTGACCAAGGGTCCTTTGTATCGCTATGACACTGCTCTGCCCAAACTCCCTGTCCCCACCTTGGAAGAAACTTGCGCCCGCTATCTCAAGTCGGTTCGTCCTCTCCTGAACGACAAAGAGTTTGCAGAGACTTCTGCTGCCGTTGCTGAATTTCAAAAACCCGGAGGTGTTGGCGAGGAGCTTCAGAAGCGTTTGCTCGCCAAAGCCACTGATCCCAAGACAGTCAATTGGCTGGAAGACTGGTGGAATGACCTGGCTTACTTTGGCTATCGTGATCCTGTTGTGATCTATGTCTCATATTTTTATGCTTACAAGGATGATCATCTTCGCAAAAAGCCTACACAGCGTGCTGCAGCCATCATTCAGGCAGCCATGGACTTCCGCAGACAGGTCGTAGATGAGTCTTTGCCGCCCGAGATGGCCAAGAAGAGCCCTTTGGACTCATCCACCTACAAGTACATGTTCAATGCCTGCAGATACCCTGCCAAGCCCAGTGACTTTGAGTTGGCATTCGATCCTTCCAAAAACAATCATGTCGCTGTTGTTCGTCATAATCAGTTCTTTGTTTTCGATCTTATCAAGGATGGCAAGATGTTGAGCACCGCAGATATTGAGGCTCAATTGGATGCCATCGTCAAAATGGCTGGAGACCGCAAGGATCCTGCCATTGGTGTCCTGACTTCGGACAACCGCGATATTTGGACCGATGTAAGTCATACTATCATATACGATCTGTTTTTGTCTGTTTCATGACGCTGTAAAGCGAACAGGATCCAACTGGAAAAGCTTAGAGCATCACAAAAGGAATGGGATTTTTTCAGCAGGGACATTGTTCACATATCGAAACGGATCTCATCTATCTGATGTCCACTTCAGAGGGAAAATTATCCAAGTAATTAAGGTTCTGCTCAATCAAATTATTGAACGACTAGATTTTCATTATTGTTTAGCCAACTTGGATCGGACTTTTTCTTTAAATATATATACTTTAGCTAGAAGCGAACAGTAGCAGGAAAGAAAGAGAGAGAGGGAAAAAAAAAAAAAAAAAAAAAAAAAAAAAAGCTCTACTGGCTAATGATGACAGGTATCTTTTTTCACATGCCACTCTAGGCTCGTAAGACCCTTATTAATGCTGGATCCCATAACGAGGAACTCCTTCGCAAGATCGAGTCTTCTGTTTTCCTCGTTTGCTTGGATGATTCGAGTCCTGTTACCCGTGACGAAGTCTCGCGCGCCTGCTGGCACGGTGATGGCCGTAACCGCTTTTTTGACAAGTCCCTTCAGTTTATCGTTTTTGAGAACGGCAAGGCCGGATTCATGGGTGAGCACTCCACAATGGATGGCACCCCCACCTGCCGCTTGAATGATTATGTCTGCACCTCCTTGGCCAAGAACAAGATCGATCATGGCTCAACGACCGTCTCGTCCAACCTTGAGACTCCTCAGAAACTCAACTTTGCCTTTAACACCAGTGTTCACAAGGCCATTGAGACTTCTGAAAAGAATTTTGAACAGTTAATTGGAAAGCATTCACTTCATGTTCAGAACTATGAGGGATATGGCAAGGGCTTGATCAAGAAATTCAAGTGCTCGCCTGATGCCTATGTTCAGATGATTATTCAGCTCGCATATTACAAGATGCACGGTGTTTCACGCCCCACTTATGAGTCCGCTCAGGTTCGTAAGTTCCAACACGGCCGTACTGAGACCTGCCGTACCGTCAGTACCGAGTCAGTTGCCTGGGTCAAAGCTATGGAAGATCACACCATCTCTGCTACTGAAAAGACTGCTTTGTTCAAGAAAGCTCTTGAATCACACGTCAGCTATATGGCCAGCGCTGTGGAAGGCAAGGGATGCGACCGTCATTTGTTAGGTCTCCGTCTATCGCTCAAGTCTCACGAGCCCAAACCCGCCATGTTCACTCAGGAAATCTTTAGCCGCTCCAGCCACTGGAACCTCTCAACTTCTCAGTTGTCATGTGAGTACTTTGATGGCTACGGATGGGGTGAGGTCGTTCCTGATGGTTATGGAGTTGCTTATATGATTAACGAGAACAACTTGAGCTTCAATGTTGCTTCGCTTAATGAGATGCGCCCTCACCATTTGCACCATTACTTGAAAGAGGCTGCGAGTGAGATGAGACAGCTTTTTGAGCAGACCTTGCTCGAGGCCCCCAAGTCCAAATTGTAAAAAAAAATATGCGCTTGCTTAGATGTACTCATAATAAATACATAAAAGGAAATTTATCATCTTGACAATGGCCAGCAGGGCCTACAAGGGCCAAAGATCACTGGTGTCCCTCTGCACGTAGATCAATAATTTGTGCTTTGTGGTCAAGTATTTAACAAATTAAAATCATCGGGATTGTCTTTTGTGGGGATCTTAATAGAAGATCGGCTTCACATTTATTTTTTATTATTTTTTTTTTTTAAAGAAGTACATTGAAAGCAATTACAATGGATGAATGGATGCTTGGGTCAGAATAATTTAGTCTGCCCTATATAAGATACAAAGCTCAACTAGTCAGGACGATCTATAGATACTGGTCTGAAACGTAAAAAAAAAAAAAAGAGCTCTCATCAAGATTAAGCGCTTTTATGGGTGTGGAGAAGAAAGCTGTTAAGAACTCCCCGCATTTCTCTCCTTGGCGGTACCTGTAGTTAGTATAGTTAGAACAGTGGAGTATCATCCGTGTAACAGGCATCCTTTATATTCATGCCGTTCGTCCACTAATGATAATTCGATACGCGTCATGGCCCCTCAGACGACGACAGCCATGAACTCTATTTTACCCCGCATATTTTTTTTTTTAATGTTCAAAGATTCAAGGTGGGGTTCAGATTTTTCCGTTCCGTGCAACTCTTCCGTATCGGAGCATATTCCCGAAGATCCCGTCGATGGCTGATTGCTTCCTTCGAGAGACCCCAGTTTTTTCCTCACTTCCTATCCCCACATTTTATGTTATTGCGCGATGCATTCATGCAAATGGTCTTTATCCCTCCCTAAATGTATTTAAATATCCCAAGACTTTTCCTCAATCCCCCCTTTTTTTTATCTCTAGTTCATTAAGCAACACTTTGTCTTACATACCCTTTTTGCGACCAATTTTCATTACAAACAGCTTCTCTTCCTTAAATTATCAAAGAAAAGAAAAATGGTTTCTGTGAACGTTTACCTTGATAAGCAAGAATATGGAAAGGACAAGGTTCGCCTTCTGAAGGTCCATCGTGATTCCAAGGTCCACCGTGTCGATGATCTTACGATCCGTTGCTTACTTTCCGGTTCCTCCTTCACAACTTCTTATACTGAGGCCTCTAACAAGGCTGTGGTCGCAACAGACTCGATCAAGAACACCTGCTATGTCCTTGCCAAGTCTTCCAAGGTCGTTGATACCCTTGAACTCTTTGCAGCTGAGCTCGGCAATCATTTCTTGGACACCTACAACTGGGTTGAGGGGGCTCATGTTACCATCATTCGTCATCGTTGGGCAAGGATGAACATCGATGGTAAGCCTCACACTCACTCCTTCTGGCGTGATGGAGAGGAGACTCGTCAAACCGATCTTTTTGTCAAGCGTGCTGCCGGTGGTCGCCGCACTGTCGAACTCAAGTCTGCCATTGATGGTCTCCTTGTCCTAAAGACCACAGGATCATCATTCGAGGACTTTGTCCGAGATGAATACACAACCTTGGCAGAGACCAAGGATCGTATTCTTTCGACATGTGTGGACGCACAATGGGAATTTAACATCCCTTCTGCTCCAACCGAGAACTTGTTGTCGACCATGGCTCAGATTCCGTTCAACAAGATTTATGAGTCGGTCCGGGAGGTGACCTGCAAGACCTTTGCAGAGGATGAGTCCGCCTCTGTCCAGGCTACGTTGTACAAGATGGCTGCTCAGTCGATCTCTAACTGGAGATCTCTGAACCGTGTCTCCTATGCTCTCCCTAATCGTCATTTCTTTGCAGTTGACTTGAGTTACTTCAAGGGCACCAAGAACTTGGCAGAACATGCCGACGTCTACCAGCCTTTGACTGATCCTTCTGGATTGATCACTGCTACCGTCGCTCGTTCCCCTGATACTTCTGCTCGTCTTTAAAAACATACAAATAAATAAATGAATAAAATAACAATTTGTACATAGAGGAATTTATTCCGCTCTAGACCTTGAATAGCAAAGGAATATAATAAATTAAAAGAAAAGCCCGCATTTGACGTTCATTTGTTTATTTATTTTAAATTTGTAAATGCCATTATCGTCTTGCTATCTTTAGTTAGTCTTTTTTTTCTACATTTTCGACTTCCTTCGTATTAGCCCCCACATCTTTGCTCTTCGGATTGTTCGCCAGTTCTACAATACCATCGACATCTACAATACCTCTGATCTCCTTGTTCTCAATTGAGTTCATGATGGCTCTTGCCATGGTTTCCATGCTGATAGGTGGTGTAGAGAGGGCTTGTGCAAATGGAACGGTCCCCTTTAAGGCATTACCCAACACAGTACTGGAGATGGTGAGCAATCCTGCCAAGGGTACAGTCACTGGCCTATCAGGCGTGGACATGAATCCAGGACGAAAAATAATGGGTCGGATTGCAGATGGGTGAGTCAAAAGCGCATTCTCGGCTTCACGTTTAGTGGTAAGGTAGCGGTTTGGAATTATAGGTGCGACGAAGGCTGCAGAGATATAAACGAAGCTTTCAACACCTTCCTTCCCAGCCTCATTTGCAAGAGTAATTGCTGAAAAAGACAAGATTTTAGAGCAATAAACGTCAATAATGGTTCTAATTGCTCTTTATATATATATATATATATATATTTTTTCTTCATTTACCAGTATCACGGTTCACTTTCTCATAGGTCAATCCAGATTTAGGTGCTTTTGAAGTATCAAGAGGGTTCTGACCGCGAAACATAGTCTGGATGTTTTTGGTAAGCTCTTCAAAGTTTTGACTATGGAGAATATCCTTGTAATTGTCCTCTAGCAACAGTCCAACTGAGTGGACGACAGCATTAGCGCCTGCAATCGCATCCTTATATGTGCTGGGTTCCAATGAATCCCCTTGTGCCCAATTGACCTAAATGGTTTTATAATGTTGCGAGATTTAATATCCTAATGCATCGATATATAATTGTCTTTAAATGTTAGGGTCTTATGTTTTAGCATACCTTGGTTGCCCACCCATGGGGTGCAATAAAGTCCTTTTGATTGGATTCTGTCAAAGTGGGTTTACCGCGACGACTATTTTATTAAAGAGAAAAGTTTGAGCCAAGTTGAAATTTTTTTCTTTTGAAAAAAAAAAATAAAAATAAAAATAAAAAAAATAAAAAAAAAAAAAAAAAAAAAGAGTACCTTAAGCTTGTTACATCCCATCCACGAGCAACGGCCAATTTACAGACTTGGAAGCCTATTTTCAGTCGGTTCAGTAGTCGCATGGATTAGCATAAATAAAATATACAATTATACATTTTTCTTTTGTTGGAAAAAAAAAAAAAAAAAAAAAAACATACCAACGCCACCTGTGCCTCCCACAACCAATAGTTTCTTGGCCAATGCTTGTAGGGAAGGTGACACCATTTTTTTCTTTTTTTTTTTAAATCAAAAATGAATTGTGGAATGAATGAGGAGGGAAAGGAAGGGAGGAATCGTCAAAGACAAGGAACTTTCCTAATAAACATGACAGCGCAACATGACTATGCGTGAGATTTCCGCAAAGACGTGACTGTGAAAATGCGCGTAGAATGTGTGGATCGATTCCCGTCGCGCCCAACCGCGCTTTGGTAACCCGGAGGATTCGTCACCATCAGATATGATTAGCAAGAATAGGCTAGAATGGGGAGGAAAAGGAATTCATAGGTTTCTTCTTATTCATGTCTAAGCAGCAGTTGGAGAGATCCAAGAAATTGAATATGGATTTGAGGCGCTGTAGAAGAAATATCTTTAAACAAATGTTTAGATTATTTTTCCCTCCTTCCCACGCTCAGTAAGGCGTCAATTAACTTAAAACTCTTCCAAAAGTCCAATATCATCTGTAACACTGTCAATTGTCAAATAACGTCAACAGCGATCACCACGAACTTTGTTAGGGCCTCTGTTCCCTTTTTACAGGTGCACAAAGCTGTGATCTTTGTGCCTTCTTTCCTCACTATATTGGATATGAGGGTTTTGAGAGAGAACTGCTCCATTACGTCAAGAGTCCCCTAAATTATTCACCACATGGACCTGAGAGAAACCCAATCGGGAGGTGTCGGGTCCTCTACTGCTACCATATTCTGCATATTTATCATTGGAATGCTTACAGCCAGATCAAGCCAACCGTAATGGAAGAGAGTGGATTCCTGGTGGTAGATAAATAAACCATAAAGATGTTTTTGCACGATGCAGGATGGTCGTTTCAAAGGGATGTTGTTTTTTTTGTTATTTTCCAGTTTTTCAGATGACGTATGGATGGAAAGCCTGAAGTAAAATCATTTATTTCTGCGCTCACACACACTCAGCTAAACTTCCTTCACACTCATTACATCACCCTCTTTAGTCATTCCCACTCTCCTCATTCTTGTACGTTCAGAAATACTTTTAACGCTTCAAGGACAAGAGGAAAAAAGGAAAAGAAAGCATAGCAACCAATTCCATCTTTCTCCTTGCTCTTACTAAACAAGTAAAATATCAAAAGTAAAAAAAAAAAAAGAAAAAAAGTCCCACAATTCCTAAGCAAAGCTACAATAAATATGAAATACCTTGAATACCCTGGCATGGATAATATCAACAGTGCTCTCAATTTTGAGACACCAGAGTGTAGAGTCCATGGCAGAGTTGAACCATATTCATGTAAGCAAGAAAGGAAGGGAGAATAAAAAAAATAAAAATAAAAAAAAAAAAAACCTGGGCAAAGCAAACATTAGACTTTCTCCACTGATCCTAGTGTAAAAAAATCTAATCTGGATTGATATATCTCTCTCACTTTTTTTTCTACTCTCTCTCAATTCAATTATAAAAGGCAAAGCTGCAGGAGCGGACAAGAAGCTATACAAGCAGTTGGAGAATAAATACGACCCTACATCACCAAACAACACTCTCAGTCCACCAGACGACGATGGGTTCAACAATATACGAAACATCATCTCACCTTTTGGACCAATGAACCAGCCTGCCTCGAGAAAGACGCTCTTTTATTTGATTGGGACTCTGAATGCATCTTTCCCAGATTATGACTTTTCGTAAGTCTTCTTTTTCCCACGTGTATTAAATCTGATCACAGGTTTTACTCAAAAAAAAAAAAAAAAAAAGGGGGTGATGGAGGAAGGAGGTGTAGAACAGTATCTAGCTGGAATGATATTTATTCCATTCATTCATTCATTCTTATTCTTTCTTAGAGACGTTAAACCCGAACAATTCCGGAAGGAGCCTTCAGTGTCAATAGTAGTGAATTCGATCAATTCAACGTTACTGAATCATGGAAACGAGCGTGCTGTCAAGGACATTGGCCTTTGGGAAGCAATCGACCAATTAATAGAGTTGGCTGATTCTGATGTTTATTCATACAACCCAGAGAGCGACTCTGATCCTAATGATGAAGAAGGAGGAACACTGTAGGTGAACAAAAGGATAAAATGCTAAAAAAAAAAAAAAAAAAAAAAAAAAAATTGTTAGCAATGTTGGTCATTATTAAAACTTCATTTCTCTTGGCATAGGTGGTCGTTCAATTACTTCTTTTATAACCGGAAACTAAAACGCATCATCTATTTTACAATGAGAGGAGTCAGCCACAATGTATTGACAGATGACGATGATATGGAAGACAATTATAACTCTGACGATGATAACAACATTGGCTTTGCACAACGCAAGAAAAGGTAAAAAAGAAAGAAAAGAAACCAAATAGCTTTTGGAGAGAAGGAAGTCCTGTCATCGTTCCCTAACTGACGTAAAATACTCTTGCATTTTTTTTTTCTTTTTTAGGCATGATGACGTTGAAGATTTTGTTGCAGGAGATATGGATATCAATTGACGAAGGAAAAGAGTTTTTTTTCTGTCAATCTATCTAGGCAGATTTTAATAGCAGGAGTGAGGATACAAATTTATTTAATAAATAACGGAAACTGCCTTCGTTATTGATATATATCCTTATTTCTTTTACTTTTTTTCATTTTAAATCGGTGGCAACTCAGGTACTGCTCCATAGACCTGCTTGAACGCATCTCCATACCTGGCCAGCCATGCAACTCTAGCTTGACGACGGCGTTCAATCCGTTCTTCCTCTGTCTCCTCATCTTCCTCGTTATCGTCATAGTTGTAGTCGTAGTCGCCTTCGTCATCCTCAAACGCATCATCCTCATCGCTACTCTCTCCTTCTTTAACCTCGTCCACCTTCCGACTGGTACTGTTACTGTGGTTATTGTAACTGTTGCTTCGAGACGGGCTCTGTACTTTAATTTGGAAGCCCAAGTTTTGTTTTTCGAGTGGAGACAAACGGCTCGGATGATTGTCAAAAGGGTGATACGGACTAGCAGGGTTGGAGCTCCTGGCGTGAGACCCCTTAGTAGTAGTAATAGTAGTGTTAGGATTAACAATGCTCGTAGCAATGGTTGTGGAAGTAGGCGCCGAAGCAACATTATCTGAGGCTGCCAATCTTGGATTCAACGTAGAGCCTCGGCTTGGACTACACGCCAACGGCATTGCTGGAGCTAATGGAGGGGAGAATGAGAGCGGCGGATAATTTGGCATGTAGCCATGTCTCTCCTGAGTAACATTGCTACTATTACTGCTGTGGTTGTTATTAGCCCTACTGATGGCACCAAAGTCAATCCCTGGAAATAAAGCTTGATGTGTTATTGGGGATGTTAAAGGAGTGCATCCCTTGGCGAATGTAACCTTTTTCTTGGCCTGAACAGGCCTATGGTTCGGCGGCGTCACATTGAGCGGAATGGCTTCTCGTCGCTCCCTAAGACATGATTTAAGAGGTCGAGAGGACAATTTGGGATGGTGTAATTCTGCCTGCTGTAAAGACCGTCTAGCGTATTGGGGCTGGGTGTTGCTTTTACTACTAATACGGTTCCCATTCCCATTGCCACTGCTACTGCTGCTGCTCTCTTCAACAGAAGTATGACCAACTGAAGAGAACAAGCTCATTGCTGGGAGCATTGATGTAACAAGTGCAAATGTTGCAGACTGTTGCTGAGGTGAAATTTTTATACTTGTTAGTGCTCCATTAGTGTTTCGAGGGTGTGGGAGAGGCGAGGGTAAATCTTTTGAAGACTTGGCTATCAGATCATTATACGCCCTGCTACCCCCGTCCCTTGATTCACTAAAACCGCTCCACCGTTGTTGAGCCGGATATAGATGAGATAAATCTCTATCCGAATAGTTCTTTTGATTGGACATAATGGTAAGAGTAAAGTCATCGCCAGCTTCTTCTGCGGCCGCCTTTGGGGCAACTTTGGCTTCCTTGGTTCCAGTTCTAACAGCAGGGACACTTGCTGGCATTATCAGTGCTAAGTCACCTATCTTCTTCTTAGATGCTACTGTATTTGCCTCCAAAACAGGACCTGGCTCCTTCTGTAAAAGTCCAGCAGCTAGACTTGAAGCGTTTGACTGATGAACAACAGCCCCTGCTACTTTGACACTCGGTTGAATGCTAACGGGCCCTTCCACGGCCCTATGTGCAATACTCACTATTGCTGTTGATACTGCTGATCGATCCTTGTTGTTTAGAGTGGAATCAGTTTGGTCAATTGCGGTCGACGTTGTCTTTAATGTATCCGTGAATGAAATGTCCTTGGTTTCTCTAAAAGCGTAGTCAAGGCTTGCTTGTTGTTGTTGAACTTTAAAATAAGTAGCTTCAGGTGGAGGAGAGTGTCTCACAGAGCTTATCCTTGATGGTGGTAGGCCAACGCTCTGCTTTGTATCTGCTGTATTCATAATGAATCTAGCCACTTTGGAGCTACTGCTTTCTACAGTCCTACCAGTGATGGCTCTGTTTACTGGTTCAAGGCTGGCCTCAGCAATATCCACTTTATCCTCGCCCTTGACTGCAAGAGGCGATGAAGGAGGAGATGATGACGTTGGTAATAATAGCGCTTTAGCGGCCGACGAATTTATGGCAGGGTCTCTTTCCGATACATAACTCTCACTCCACTTGGTCAGGGTAGGTACAGGTGGTAATACGGCCTGAACAGAATTGGTGGCACAGAAAATGGCGCCTGAAATGGTCGAGATACGATTGTGATTATACTTCGATACAATCTCAATGGGGACTTCTAGGAATGCACCCATGCGACCCTTGAAAAAGAATTTGATTACAAACATGTACTCGACTTTGAATAGTTCACGGTCTAAAATCGTCAGCGCATTTTCCTATCAAATCAACATATGGACCATTAGTAAAAGAGCAAAATAAAAAAAAAAAGAAAAAAGATGACAATTTTTTTTTTTTTTTTTCATTGATATTGCTATTAACGCTTACAGGGATATGCATGGCTATATGGTACATGGACAATGATTTCGCGGTCCTAAAGTCTTCATGGTCTTCATAGTAACCCTTTAAATGATTGCCGTTGGCATGGCTCTCCTCCGACTGCGCAGACACATAGTCCTTTGCAATCTTGGTCACATATGTTCCAACAAGCTTTTTTCTTGGCTTCGTCTCAGCTTTTGCAAACTGTTTCCTCTCAGGGCTCTGTCTATCGCTCGAGGAGACAGCTGTTGTTGATAGTGACGGAGCTACTGCCCTAGCGAAAGCATCATCATTGTTCAATAATGAAAACACGTGGATGGTTTCCACAAGCGACACTTTGATATCCACCACCTGCATGAAATCGGATTTCACAATAAACATATCCAGTGCAACCTTATCACCAGCTGGAGCCACCGATTTGTCAACATGGGCTCCGAAACCGACTTCATCAAGGCTGGTTGCGGGGTCTTTGTGCCTTGAACCGTATCGACTATCCCGTATGGATAAGCTCGGCCGCGTTTGCTTCTGTTGCCGAGGATAGAGGTCTTCTGCTGAGAAAATTTCACTACTCTCTGCAAAATTGGCCTTCTGCGCCGCGAGTGTCATGAGAGCATTATAACTACCATCCTCTGTGCATGGCTGGGGTGGCAAGTCATTGGTAATGGAATAGGGTCCTATCACTTCTTGTTGAGAGCGGCTCATTACCAAAGGGCCTAGACCCCAAAGGCTATATGGCTTTATTACAGCGGTTCCCAAAACCGAATTTGCCTTAGGGACCACAAACCGCACCCCAGAAGGCGCTCGTCCATTGCTCACCATCGAATCTGTTGTGGGGCATGGTAAGGGTCGAATCGGGTTGCGAGCAGTACCGCTGTTGCTGCTGTTGCTGCTGTTGCTGCTGTTGCTGCTGCTAGTGTTATTACCGTCATCGCCAGATTGGGATGAAGAAGAATCGGTATTTTCGCCTAGTGGAGAAACGATTTCGGTAGCAGCACGGATCCGAACGAGCTCAAAGAGCGAAACCGGAAGAGAGTGCCGTAATATAAACGACTCTGTACCTAAGCGGATGTACACGTTTCTAGGGAAGGGGGGGAGGAGGAAAATAAAAAAAGAATGACAAGGTTAAAATTGCAAGTAGCGTTCAATAAAAAAAAGAAAGCGACTTAAAGATCATACCATGGATTAGTACAAAATAGAGAGTAAACTCACGCGGTTAACCGATAATTGATAGAAGCATGTGTGCTCTTGAACGTCCCAGTCACTTTCTCTGGGACACGTATTTGAATGGAGATGCCCTGACACGTGCCTGGAACAATGTATCCAGGCTGAAATGAGTCGGGAACCACTGGTATGGATAATGAAGGGCTAGAGGCATCGGACGAACCAGCGATAACGGGGGGCAGGGAAGCGTCAGTGAAAGGTTTCCCTTGTCGGGGGGTTGGAAATAGAAGTCGGGATGGTACTGTTGTTGGAGTCAAAGTCAAATGTGTAGATGATGCTCTGGCATTAGATGATTCCTGTATCCATCTGAGGTCTTTGATTGAGAGCTTTTGAGTTTCGTGTAGAAAACAGTAATGGTCTACCCGTGCCCGTGAGAGTAGTCCTGCGCCAGTTACGACTTCTAGAGTGACAGATTAATATGGTAGTTAAATCTTTTTCTGTCAGACGCAAAGCAAAGTGAAATAGGGATATCAAAAAACTTCTTCTCTTCCCTTCTACTTCTACATCCGTCCAAACATTACCTTCATTCCCAGTAAGCTCGATCTCAATACCTTCAACGCACACCATCCATTCATGTTGTATGTTGTGTTTCCGATAGACAGAGCTCTCCTTTTCCTTGTTACTGCTAGAATTGTTGATATTCGTTTTTTTGTTGCTGATTTTCTCCTTTATCTTGCCTTTCCTCTCACTTTTAGCTATAGCGGCTTTCATTTCGGGTCTTTTCAAATCTATGGCACTGATAACTAACATGCCTTCCAACATCTCCCCTCCAGGCTTAATGGGCTCTGGAACTGTCCAGTCCAATTTGACATTAGGATGTTTATGCAGTAGGTTGCAGATGTGCGATCGTTGGGAGCCACAACTATTTTCATCGCCATTTTCATTTCCATGTTTGCCGAAATACTCATGGCCTTGACAATGATGTTGGTTCTGTACAAGGGTAGCATTTTTCGATCCTGAGTTAAGCCCTGAGTTCCCACCAGTCCATTCCTGTTCCCCCCACTCTTTCCCTTCTGCTTGCTGAGATTGGTCTTTAACAGTGGTGGAAGGGATGAAATTAAACGAAAGCGGTGTTGATTCTGTTGACGCTGCAAGGTCAGACCGCGCAGAGGATAGAGCGAACCCAGAACCAGAATCGAAATCGAGTTCATTTCTTCCACAGCTTCGCCTCTGCCTGCGGTTGCCGTTACCGCTACTGTTGTCATTGCCATTGCTATTACTAATATTGTTACCGTTGTTGCTTTTGTTATCGTTACTATCGTCGCATAGCCTCGCCCCACGGAAGAGAGAGCCAAGGCACGTGGTTGGCTCCGATAATGTAACTGTTGCTGCTGGTATATGGGCTTTATCACTACTGCGACTGCATTTTGAAGCCAGATCTGACAAATACTTCAACGAGCCTCTGTTCATTCTTCTGAAGATTCCATTATGCACATCACTCTTATCAGTTGAGCCTGCAATCGTAACGGTTTTATGATGAGCAAGATGACGAAAGTGCTTTTGATGCAGCTCACATTCATTGTGCTGAAGGTGCCCTTTGGCGTTAGTATCCGCACAAGGGTAGTCATTTCCTTTACATTGAGAGTGTTGACGTCCCGTTCCCGATAGGGGATCATTTCCTACTTTGGAGCATGAGAGATAACTGCCCCTTTTCTGGATATCCTTTGAAGAGCTGTTGTGGTCGGCATCGCGCCTATGGAGATAATGATGCTGAGAAGTGAAGGAAGAAGGGGAAGGAAGATGAGGAGGATGAACCTGGATATCTTTTGAAGGCGAAGACTGATGGTGGGAAGAAAACTCTGTTTGCGCACAGACGTTATCGGAGTGTGAATGAATTGATGTGACAGTCTCCAACGCGTCCGTGGCCATCCTGACTGTGGCCAGAATATCTTGCGGATCATCGTGGTAATGGTTTGAAGATGCAGTGCCAAGCGCTCCATTAGATATTTCCTTAGTAGCGGCAGGCGCTGTACTTGCTGGTTGCTTGTTGGTATCAAGGGAAACGTTCATTATTATTGAGTGATAGCTGTGATGTGATGAGTAGAATGAATGGAATGAAGAGAAAAAAAAAAAGAAAAGCCGAGGGTATAACTGGGGTATATTATCTTACACGATACTGAGCAATGGAGAAAAGAATAATACCAAGCAGTCAAAGCATAAAAAAAATACTAAAAAATAATAAATGAAAATTCTTTGAGGTCAGTATATTCGTTTTTTTAGGATAAAGCTAGTGTGCAGTGGAAAGGTTGACTTTGTAGATCGTGCAACAGATGATTCTTCTTACCATGGAATACTCCTTTTCGTCCTACTTACTTTTTGTCCTACTCACTTCACTTTTTGTCACACGAAAGTATTCAAAAGGGAAATAGAAGTATGTGCATGTGATTCGGATGCAAAGTTGGTCGTACATATACACCTTCTTTATTATTTTAGTGCTGAAGGTACTGTTGCTGGTAACACAGGTCAATTGTAGATGTACCTCTTGAGTAGGAAGTGAAGAAATATCGTTTTTTTTTTTTTTAAAAGTAGAGAGATAGCATATCAATCGAATCCAAGGGCAAAAGGGCGTAGCAAGAATAGCACTAAACGAGACGCTGCAGAACAATGCAAGAGGATCACGAGTGTGCGAGTGAGAAAGAGAGCCATAAGAAAAAATGAAAAGAACAAGAAGGAAAAAAGGCTAAAAGGTCAATCAAAGAAATGTTTACAAAGAAAACGATAGTAGCAACAGTAATAAAAAATAAGTAACGACTGATAATAATAATACAGAGGACCATTATTTTCATTTATACCATGCAGCTTTTTTGTTTGTTTGTAGGATTCTAGTTTCCCTGTTCTTCACCAACTGCAACTGCCCCTTTCCCTCGTTTATTTTGTTGTGTCATATCATGTGTTCATGCACGCACTAATTGACAACAATAAAAACCTTTTTTAATTTTTTTTTTTTTTTTTTTTTTTTTTTGGATTGCGGCGTATCGCTTCAAGTCAAAGCAAGAAAGCTGGAAAACAGTCAAGATAAGTAAGAGTGAAAGCAGAGAAAAAAAAAAATCAGTCAGTCCGCTAAATATGAAGTCGAAGTCTTGACGGATTTTTTATTGGGTCTCATTAAAATCTGAAGCAGTGCAGTTCACCAGCCATCACGTGAGGGCAGTTTTTTCAAATCATGTCAATGAACGTTTATATCGATAAAATGATCTGCAAAAAAGAGCGTAAATTATCAACTTTAAAGGCTTTAAGAAATAGAGTATATACATGTAAAAGTACAAAACTCAAATGCTCCACCTTCGGAATTGGAAAATTGGGGTGTGATTATAATTTTGGTTATAGATCTGCCCATTCTAGGCTAGGCTAGGCTAGGCTCTAGGCTTAAGGACGTTTTTTAAAATTGAACGTTGTAAAAAAAGTCTCTTCATTTTTTTTTTATTTAAATGGGTAGAATGAACCATAATCACTATCCATTTTCTCTGATTTCCTTCTTCATTTCTCCCTCTTCCCAGTAAGAACACTCGTAGACTCGTGAAATTACAACGTTGATTCACTACCCAAACCTTATGATCTGAGGTCTAGCTACATTTAAGGGTGTGAACAAAAGTTTTGCCTCGCTTCCTTTTATTGCATGAATGAATATGCAATCTGAATACAAACAAATAAACATTAACGCACAAAAATTCCAGAACCGAAGAAATACTGAGCAAGTATGGACGGATATATTGCTTTCTATTTTATTTGGTGAGACTACTAATACAAATTGCTTTTCTTATGATTGGTACAGACAGTTATAATTTAGATATGTTGATTCAAAACTTGTAGATTGCTGGATCTTATGCATCATGGGTGGATTACGGAGCCGGGATAGAAAAAAGTCGCGGATTTTGTGTAAGGGATCCTGTAAATGGTTTTTTTTTTTTTTTTTTTTTTTTTTTTTTTTTTGGTATTCTTCTTGCCGCTTGGCCGAATTGTCCACAATGCTTGAACCAAAGAAAAAAAAAAAAGTGATGGCTATACTGCGGTAGGGCGACTTCCACTGGCCTGACCCCCATTATTGTTCTCGTTCTTATCCCCGCTCTGGCCTTGCCCTTGACGTTTATTAGCTGGACTTTTGTCTTTGGCTGATTGGACCTTAGTTTGATTTCCTTCGTTTTCATTTGAGAAATGAAAGTAGCTTTGGCCTGGGACAGCCATTTCTTCTTCTACAGACTCTTGTAGGAGCATTTCGCTGGAGTCATTGTTAATTACTTGGGGGTTGGCAGAGTTGCGCATGTCCGTTGTTGAGCGTTTACTGGCGAGATTCATGGTTTTTAAATGGGTGGAGAGATGGTTTCTTTTTCAGAAAGAGTTGCGGAGAGCTTGTAAAAGGTGAGAAGACAAGAGTGAAAAAGAGTTGA